AGATATGTTTATGCAAGGTGAAAAGGTTGACAGCGGGGGAGGTGTCACTGTGGGTTGCCACTTGCACAGCTCCTCTGTCAAACGAGGGTGACAAATTGAAACATATCCAACGCTCATTTGACAAGCTAATCGAATGCTAATTTAAATGCACCATTTGCATAATATCCACTAGCTGCAACATTTTGACAGTTCTCGATAAGTTGCTTGTATTTTATAATTAAATTCGAACAGCATGTCAAATGAATCGGCAGCATGTGTTAATGCATTGTTTGGCATGGTTCTCTGTTCATTATTTAACAACATTATAAAGCCCCCAAACACACATAAAAGCTAGCAACGTGTATAGACAGTTTTTAAATCACGTATGAACTGTTTCTCATCAATCTTCAGCCACGTGCTGTATTCCTTTTTTTTTAAACCCTGAACCCATTGAAAATTAGTGAATAAGGTTTTTGTGCAAATGTATGTAACAGACAATTGACAGCATGTCCGATCCCATAAAGTTTATAAGTATATTCTTGGATAGGACGACGAGCTGGGTCGATCTAGTCAAGTCCATATGTATGAATCACGCTCAGCAACTACATAAGCTAAAGCTTTGGCTTAACTACATAGCCAAGTATATATATTCTTTTCAATATCTCCACCATTTCCATAATATCGATAAATAAGAATATTGAAGCAAGTTTTTCGAAGCATAGCTCGGAGATAATATCACCAAGCTGGGCCAAAAATTTGGTATATACATTCTTGTAAAATATATACAGAAGAGGAATATTTCAATATTTTTATATCTTTAAATAATAAATAATGGCTCGAGCCTTGGGCTTTGGTGTACACATATTTGTGTGCCATACTAAAGGCCTGGAAATGTGATTAAGACCAATGTGTAAGCACCAAAGTTAATAAAGAATGTTTTTCACATGGTGAACGGCTGGCTGTAAAAAGAAGAAGCGCAACCATTGCACAAGGGGGGCACTTAGTGTCGTCCGTGCGTGCTTGTGTGTGTGTGTGTGTGTTGTTGTATATGTTATATGTGAATGGCAGAAAGTTCGAATGCAGCAATTACCCCTAGGCGGGCACTTTCAACTGGGGCACTCCCTCTTGAACGTAATGAATTGTGAGTGTAACTCTTTTAGGTTTAATAAGGTTTTAAGTTAACACATTTTCCAAGCGCTAAATCTTATTTGTCAGCCGCTTTAAGCAAGTGTCATTGCGGCATTAGCATATTAACTCTTTGAGAATAACAAGCTCCTGGATGGGGTGTGGCAACTGAATTGCCGCAAGACACACATTTTAAATATTTAGCAGAGCGACAGATGCAATTTCATTATCATCACTAACACACTCACACGCACACACACACACACACACACACACACACACACACACACACACACACACACACACACGCGCAAGCAGTCCTCACACCCACGTCAGTCGACTCAACAAACACAGCAGCCGATGCCGCCGATCTTATCGCTTATCTTTTGGCAGTCAACAAACGCTTCATGTCCGTCATCCGTCAAGCATTTGTTGTTGTTGTTGTTGTTGACTGTGTTTGTGTTTCTATTTTTTTTTTTTTTTTGGTCATGGGCGCTGATAAGGTCGCTAAACGCCATCGCCCCATAGTCACACGCGAGACTTGAGCAGACGTCAGGCAGCAGTCAAAAACACCTTTGGCGTTCAGCTGGGCTGCTGTGGCGTATACTTAACAGGGCCAAAGTGCATTCGCTTGCACCTGCCACTGATCAACTTGGCGTCCTTCAGTTGTCCTCTCTCCCTCCCAGGCAGCTCTCCGCCCGTCAATCAGCCTGTTAGCTTGTCAAAGTCCCAAATCTAAGTGCAGCTCAAATTTCGCAAACATTATGCGCTGTGGTGCTTGCTTCGATACACTGTCAGAGATTTCCATTTGGGAGCCATCAAAACCATTTGCCATTCAATCCATGACAGCCCCAATGCCATTACACAAGTAATAAATGCAATAACACACATGCTTTTATGCACTCGCCGGGCCTGGCCTTATGTTAACTCTCAAATGCACTTTGAACAATGGCCGCCACACTGTGATGAATCCGTAAAAATCGGGGAAATGCAAAAAACAATTCTGAATATTGCAGTCGGATGCAACCAACTGTGCAATGCCCGTCTATAGTCCAATAACATTTATTAAAAGTTGCCCATTTTTTCGTTTTTCCAAGGCAAATATTTTGCTATCGATCCTTAAAAGTGTTCAATTTCAATTTGGACACTCTAGCTCTAAAACTGTTAAAGATACCAATTTCGGCCAGAAAGCCGCCAAAATAAAATTGCACCCATACGGCCAGATGGACAGGCAGACAGCAAGACGGACATAGCACAAAAGCAAAATATACCATTTTTTCACTTTGCGAACTAAGTAGTATAAACATTTATTGAATGATAACAAAATAAGTTAACTAAAACAATAACAGCTTCAACAAACAACAACAACTATTGTTAACGAAAGGAGACAAGACACTAAAATTCTCGAAAAGAAAATCAAAACAAGTAGGTGTGATCTAGTCGGGTGTACATAACTAGGAAATACCCTGAACGCAGCAAGTACATGCACAGAAACATACACACACACACTCACATACTTTAGCAACAGCTGAGGTTCTTCCCAGGACTCCGTATTATAAGAAATGTGTTTCTATTTCTTAGATAACTTCACTGTTTATTGTCCGAACTTTATGACACTTTGTGGGCATAAATATGACAAACAAATGTCTGTAAGTAGCAAAGCCCATTGAAAAATTATTTTTTATTTCAATTTTGTTCTTGTATGGGTGTAGGTATCTAAGAAGTAAATTGGTTTGTATCCGTGTATAATAAACAAGATACTTCTGTTCTCTAACTGAAAAAAAATTGCATTATGGAAACGGGCCAAGTTAACGATAATTTGAAAGAGGCTTGGTCTTACTCCTTCCCTCCCAATCCTCTGAGATAGACGCGTTCAGACAGACGATGGGCAAAGCTTAATCGACTTGGCTCTTGATATTAATAAAGAATATATATACTTTATGCGGTAGGAGATGCCTCTGCCCTTTGCCTGTTACATACATTCCAACTCAACCGTTATACCCTTTTTACCCACCCAAGGGGTGCAGAGTATGAAAACCAAAAAAAATTCAACAAGCACAAAAGAACAGAGACAATCGTTTTAGCTCTGTAATGAAGGCGTGGCAACAACGATAACCAAAAAAAAATTATGTAGAGAATATATAAAAGGCGGAAAAAATAGAGAGGTAAATGCATTACATGTCAAAAATCAAAAAATTGAGCACAGCGCGCGAATGTTGCCAGCATGCGAACAAGAAGCTGAAAAAGCATTTTAACAACGAGTATGCGACTCTACAATATCCTGTAAAATTCTCAATCGAATCAGTCGCAAAGACATGAATGAAGAGTTACCGTATAACCTAACCTAGTCAAATCTTACTTTATCAATCAAATAAATCGAATTATTATAATATAAAAACGGATTGTTCGAAAATGGTGGCAGCTATAAGTATGGTAGCTGAGATCAAACAAGCATATAATGTCCAATTCATTCGTCAGATACAGGGTATACAAATATAACAAGAATTTTATCGTGTAAGCAGCGAATAAATGAATGTGCGTATGCGTGTGTGTGTGTGTACGCGCTTGCTTGCCGAGGGCTAAGCGCGCAGTCTAGTGGAGCGTGAATTGCGGAAGTGCGCCTGACAAGAGCGGAAATGCTGTTACCTGTTCATGCTCTATGTGCCCCCACGGGTATTTGGCAGTCGGTCGACCAGGCAGCACGTCAATCTCATGGGTTATGCCGTATGCGGCATAACCCCCCAACCCTAACCACCCGGCTCATTAGCAGCTGTGGGATCAGACATTTGATGGTGCATACTTTTAAGCGCAGCTACACGAAGAATCCACAAGAGCTCCGCTTGCTCAAGTCAGGCATCTGAAAATAGTTACAAACGAACCAATCAGCCGAATCTGTTAGCATAATAATCTCAATTGTGATCAATTTGCATTATTGGCGGTATTTGCCAATATTGGCAGCTGCCACCGAGTCAAAGATTACGGGGACGCCTGTTAGAATCAATGAATGCGTTACGATTCAAATTTATTTAGTAAATTGCCTCTGACTAGTCCCTGAAACTCAACTGAGACTTTTCAAAAATATCTCAAAATAAAATAATCTAATTTAAATTTATCTATTAGCTAAAATAAATATCTCAAAATATGAATTCAAATTGTTATTTAACACTTTACTTTTTATACCCTGAACCCATTAAAAATGGGTATAAGGGTATATTGTATTTGTGCAAAATCCAAATGTATGTAACAGGCAGAAGGAAGCACCTCCGGCCCCATAAAGTATATATATTTTTGATCAGCATCAATAACCGAGTCGATCTAGCTATGTCCGTCTGTCTGTCCGTCCGTCCGTCCGTCCGTCCGTCCGTCCGTATGTATGAACGCAAGGAAATTTTAGATGTAGGTGCTCCTAGTGCCTGCGCAGATCGAGTTTGTTTCCGATAATCGACAACTTACTCCGTTTCCAAGCAATCGATAAAGATCGATATCGATATCCCCCAGTCGGGAGCTCCCGACTAAAACCTCTTACTTTTTATAAAAGCATTTTGCGAGAAACTTGGCAAACGTTATGAGTATTTGTAATCTTGGAAAGATTTCGAAACATTTTTAATATAATCCAAGATTTGGGTAAAAACGGCAAGAATTTGGAATATGTTTTTAAAGCGCTAACCCAAAAGTGTTTAAATTCAGGGGGTGAAAATAGGAACACATACAACAAGGTCGGTTTAAAATTTCAAAACCAGTCTACTCTTTTCACTTATTTGCCATGGGTTCAAGGCATTAAAAAATGCACTGTTTTATTAAAAACTAGAAACATTTGAAACAACAAGATTCAACCCAAAACATGGATTCATAAATGTTGAAAGCCAGGCTCACTAATCGAACTTCAAGGCAGGCACTTGGCTCCAGTCGTCAAAGTTTTATTGAGTTTCCAACTTTATATAATAACATATACATTTTAATGGGTAAAATTATTCATTTGTATCTATTCGAATTGCGCACGAACCTTTAGAGCCTACCCAAATATCAAATTGTTTGAGGTTTAGCCGAATTGCCATTTGTCAAGGCTCGCAGTTTGGCAACAAATTGCGGTCTTTTGATTGCCATACTGCCTGTCATTGTCCTGGCATTGTGTCTAGGTCTATGACATTGCGCTTTCTTCGCACGCACACACACACACACACATACACAAACACACAAGCTCACGTACACACACATGCACAAACAATTTGTCGGTAGCTGACTGCTCATTATCCTTGTCACTGTGCGGCAATGCTTTAAAATTGATTTTCCGCTTTATATTCTTTTGGCTTATTATACTTATTTTTGTATATGTGTATCTGTGCATGTGTGTGTCATGTGTCTGTTAGCGTGTGTGTATGTGTGTGTGTGTTTTATAATTTTTCTGCTTTTTGTGTCAACGTCTGAGGCATTCCATTGTTTTGTTTGTGTTTGTGCCTGGCTGACTGTTTATGGACTCGACTGTGGCCTGTAGCACTTGCTAACTGGAGGAACCAAAGAGAGTGGACGGCTGTAAAATGGAGCAGGGGCTATGTTAACTGTTGTTAGCTGATGTCCTTTCATTTGGCATGCAAGCGTTTGTAAAAACGGCAATAGCAACGTGCTAAACGTCCTCGACAGGGTTGCCTGCCGAGCACAACCGACGGACATTCAGAAGTTCTGTGTTGTTGTATGTGTGTGTGTGTGTGTGTGTGTGTGACCCGCTTGTCTTTTGACTTGATTACATTTCATTTTTTTATAATACATTATTGCATGCCCCACACCCACACAACACACACACATAAACAAACACACATATACACAATGCGCTCGCTGCCTTTCTTCTTTGCAATTCTTCATATCTTTGTTGTTGTCTCATTCCTCATTTCTCTTGGCGTCTGCTGCTATTTTCGGTATTTCCTTTTGCTGCGGCCATCTTTGTGCATTTTCAATGCGCCACGCCCCCTTTGGGAAAGCCACAGTCACAAGCTCATGTTTATTTCAGTGGGTCATTGGGTTGCTACAACTTGTGGCCTTTTTTTCAGAGATTCCTTTTAATACCCGTTCAGAAAGCGCATAAAGAGCATTTTATTTTTGTGCAGTGTCCTGTTAAAGTATGTCTTGAAATGTTCATTATTTACATAGTCGTGCATACCCGTGCTAAGATGCCAAATACCTGCCGCAGCTTTAATGCTAGAGTACCCAAATACTGAGTGTAAACTACTTACTAATGAGCTCCTCTAACGAAAGATTTTGGCAAGTTGGGAACGAGCAGTACGCAGTCAGATGCCCTAGATTTTATTTGGTTTGTGCGTGAGCGTGTGTGTGCGTGTGTGTGTGTGTGTCGCTTGGTATGGTGTTCAGCTCGGTTGCATACTTTTCAAAATATACAATCGTTTGTCCACTTGGTAGCACTCGAGGCTTTATGTTACTTGCAGGCAGCTGCCAGGAAAATTGTGAATGTGGGAGTTAGCATGTGTGTCTGTGCCTGTGTGTGCGTGTTGTGTTACCAAGCATATGCAAATGAAAGTGCTTATTTACACTTTGGCGTCATTGTGACGCACTTACACAATGCAAGCGACGCCGGCAGCAGCAACAACGGCAGCGACAGCAGCAGCCGCCACGGCCATTGCCTTTGACCTCTGCTGCCGCCGCTGCCGCTGCTGCTGCTGATGCCAGCGCCTAGCGTTGTATGGCCCCCAGCAAGGATACAAGCGAAAGCAGCAGCAGCAGCAGCAGTAGGAACAGCAGTAACGGCAGCGCAAACACTTTGTTGTCCTTTATTGTTTGGGGGATCCTTGCTTGGCAAGCGGCAACAGCTGCACTGACCACAAGGTCCCACCGCCAACCACTTTCGATTGTTAGTTTTGCTGTGCTCGGCTCACTGGGCGACCGACCAGTCTGGTCAACTAATCATATTTACGTCCGGGGCTATGGGCGAAGAGATGCATGACTTTGTTTTTGGCAATTGCATTGACTTATTGGCTGGTCGGTCTCTCTGTATACTTAAGTCAATCATTCTGAAAGGCATTGCCTTTAAGCTTTTACTGGTATTTCACTTCAATTGATTCGCACATTCTTTTGGAAGCGAGCAGCTCATTGCTCTATTCTTTGACGCCGCCCACGGCTACTCGTTAAATTTGTGAGTGATTAGTACCCGTTGCTCATTTTTCACTATTCCCTCTTGCCGATCACCGCTACTCGTTACACTTAATTGGTGTAAAAATCATTGCGTCATCTGTAGGTTGCAGTTGCTCTCAATCGTTGCATTGATTCATTCTGTAAATCATCACTAAAGCACAATTTGGCACGCCAAACTAGTTAGTTATTATTTGAAAATCAATAAAATTGAACAATAACTTTTGAAGGGCTAATAAATTTTTATTATATTCGTGCAATTTTGTAGTGCAACGTGCCAATAATATAAACATTGTAATCCATTATTTTTCAAACAATTTTGTTAATATTCAAAATTTTAGAAAACATTGCGGAAATATAATAAATATGTAAATATATTATCATTGATTTCGAACGTTTTCTATGAAGACGCATGTCAGTGCCGCAGTAGAAGCTCAAATAATACACTTTTTCGCTCATTCCCATTGATTACCTAAGCTCTATGAAACGTTTTGTTGCTTTTGTTAAAGTCGTAACTCGTCCCATTGTGCTGCTCTTATTATTGCCCTCTTAATCAATCGCTGTCAACAAATGTCTGTTTTCAATCAATCAATCACATTAATCTCGTTGGCTGTAAATCTGTCTGAGTACTCGGTCTCTCTAAAGGCTTATGAGCGGGACTTGTTAACTCGTTGCATTTCTTTCTTCATCTCTGTTTCCCGACTTTGAGTAACGAATGATTGGAGAGCTGCGCACTCGTTGCCTTTTCAATTTAACTCGTTGACTTTTAACCTAGCTCCATAATCGTCGCTCTTTACAACAAATCGTTAAGTGCCACGTTTTATTAATTCGTTGCATTGAACTAATCATATTTACGTCCGGGGCTATGGGCGAAGAGATGCATGACTTTGTTTTTGGCAATTGCATTGACTTATTGGCTGGTCGGTCTCTCTGTATACTTAAGTCAATCATTCTGAAAGGCATTGCCTTTAAGCTTTTACTGGTATTTCACTTCAATTGATTCGCACATTCTTTTGGAAGCGAGCAGCTCATTGCTCTATTCTTTGACGCCGCCCACGGCTACTCGTTAAATTTGTGAGTGATTAGTACCCGTTGCTCATTTTTCACTATTCCCTCTTGCCGATCACCGCTACTCGTTACACTTAATTGGTGTAAAAATCATTGCGTCATCTGTAGGTTGCAGTTGCTCTCAATCGTTGCATTGATTCATTCTGTAAATCATCACTAAAGCACAATTTGGCACGCCAAACTAGTTAGTTATTATTTGAAAATCAATAAAATTGAACAATAACTTTTGAAGGGCTAATAAATTTTTATTATATTCGTGCAATTTTGTAGTGCAACGTGCCAATAATATAAACATTGTAATCCATTATTTTTCAAACAATTTTGTTAATATTCAAAATTTTAGAAAACATTGCGGAAATATAATAAATATGTAAATATATTATCATTGATTTCGAACGTTTTCTATGAAGACGCATGTCAGTGCCGCAGTAGAAGCTCAAATAATACACTTTTTCGCTCATTCCCATTGATTACCTAAGCTCTATGAAACGTTTTGTTGCTTTTGTTAAAGTCGTAACTCGTCCCATTGTGCTGCTCTTATTATTGCCCTCTTAATCAATCGCTGTCAACAAATGTCTGTTTTCAATCAATCAATCACATTAATCTCGTTGGCTGTAAATCTGTCTGAGTACTCGGTCTCTCTAAAGGCTTATGAGCGGGACTTGTTAACTCGTTGCATTTCTTTCTTCATCTCTGTTTCCCGACTTTGAGTAACGAATGATTGGAGAGCTGCGCACTCGTTGCCTTTTCAATTTAACTCGTTGACTTTTAACCTAGCTCCATAATCGTCGCTCTTTACAACAAATCGTTAAGTGCCACGTTTTATTAATTCGTTGCATTGATTTTCTGGCTACTTCGCTGCCTTTTGTTTGTCGATGCGCATACTCGCTACTTTTGTCTAATATTTATGCCTTTTAAATTAATCACAGTTTTCTAATAGTTTGAACTCATTATCCATACGATACGCACACCTTCTCCTACTGACCCTACCTGCCTCTCGCTCTCTCTCTGTGCTCTTGTGCATTTCAATTTAAATATTTAGCTCTGATAAGTAAGTTCGCTGAAATTGTAGCTTGCTCTGTAAGTGCTGGTTTTTATTTTTGGCCGCTAATTAATACCTAAAACTTCTTAACAATTTGCCGAACTGATGGCGGCTGCCTGTCTGGGCAAAAGCCCCTCAGAAGGCTGCTTTTGAACCAATTAGGCCGCGGGCAATTTAATTAAATGAATACGTATTTAAAATTTGATATTTCATCAATTCTTGCCCCGCAATTCGCTAAATACGCCAATAGCAGCTGCACTTGCATTTATGGTATATATTCAATCAGAAATTAAATTGTGCAATTACATAACGAGGTCTACAACCAACTGGAAAGGCTTGGTTGACAATGCCAAACACCAATTGGTTCACCAACTTATTGCCCGGGGTCATTGTGCAGTAATATCGTTAACAATTTTCTCTTTGTCATGATTGTGGTTCTGGCTAAAGTTGTTGTTATGCACTTGCAGAGGGTATTTCACTTTTGTTATAGACTTTGTTGCACATAGAGGGAAACGTATTCAATACCATAGAGCTTATATTTATTCTTGATAAGTATCAACAACCTGGTCGATATACAGATGTCAAAATCGATCAGATCTTTCAACTTTTCCTCTGCATATGACATATAAGCTAAATCTTATCCATATCAGACTATATGTTATTGAAACTTTCAGTCGAAAAATTAGTGTTCTTTTAAGCTTCAAAACAAAATTCAGCAAATACGATTTTCAATTGCCACCTGTCTACAAAGTATATTTAATCTTCGGTGTGCCGAAGTTAGCTGTTCTTTCCTCTAGTTGCTGCACATTTTATCTATGGCCATTTAACAACAATGAGATGGCATAATACATCATGAGGCGAATGAGAATGCTGGCATACAAAAGCTTTGCATTCAGTGCAATTAATTGCACTATGATATGTTCCCACAACGACAACAATAACAATTAAGAACAACGCAAGCAAATCAATTAGACGACGACAACAACAACTAAAGGAATACATTACATGTGTTAAGTAATACATAAGTACCAAGAGGTTGCTCAGGGGTCGATCGACTAAAACTGAGTACTGAACG